AACATAAACTTTTTTTAATTTCCATAAAATAATATAAATAATTATATAATAAATAATATTAAATAATTTATATATTTTTTCTGTATTAAATCATGTTTGAATGCTGTAATAATAATTGTATTATATTATTTTATGCTATATTGTGCTATTATTAAAATTTTATATTTATTTATTTGTTTATTTATTTTTTATTATCATTTGTGAACTTTAAATTTTTTTGCAATTCTAATTTCATATAAAAAATAATAATTTATTTATTCATTTAACTCATAACTTACAAAAATCATGTTTTTCTGTATTACATATTCTGAACTTTTTGTCTATTATTATTATTATTATACTTTTAAAATATTTATCTATTTATTTTTACTTTTGTAATTTCCATACAATTAAATAAATAACATAACTAATTATATAATAAATGTATAAATAATATTAAATACTTAAAAACTGTAATAATATTTATATATTATTATTATTCATTAATTTATTTTTCTTCAGGTTAATCTCTTATTTATCAGAGGTTGCCACCGTGGAATGAACCGCCAACTATTCCAGCACATGTTTTACACAGCGGATGCCCTTCCAGCTGCAACCCAGTACTGGGAAACACTAATACACTTTCACATTCACACACTACAGGCAATTAAGTTTATCCAGTTCACCTATAGTGCTTGGTGGGGGGAGGGGGGGAGATGTTCGGGGGTGAGGTCTCTGAATAACACTGTTAAGAACCGGGATAGGATGCAATCGGGTACTGTACCAAAGTTGTCGACCTTGGGGTGTTTACAGACTGTACTAAAAAAAAAAAAAAGGGGTGGGGGGGTTACAGAAGTTTTCCGTAAGTAATAACAAATCGGGATGGTTGCGGGTGATTGGTCTGAAATACGGCAGACTCCCAGGAAAAACAGAAGTGTTGGCAGGTATGAACTCGAACCGACAGCTAGCTCTCTGCAATTCTCACACGGTCACCCACTGAAGCTAAGCAGAGTCAATACCTGGATGGGGGAACACACGGGAAAGCTAGGATGCTGTTGGAAGTGGTGTTATTAGACTAGCCCAACCTGCCGTCTGTGTGGATCCTAATGGCCCAGTATAGTGAAGGGGACTCTATACTGCTCAGTGAGCGCCGACTTTTGGATGAGACGAAACCCAGGACTTTCTGTGGTCATTTAAAATCCCAGGATGTCCTTCGAAAAAGAGTAGGGGTTTAACCCCGGCATCCTGGCCAAATTTGCCTAACCATCCCCATATCATAATTAGCTTCTCTTCACCAATCAGCTGATGTGTGGTGTGCGGTCTGGTGCAATATGGCTGCTGTTGCTGTTGCGTTAGAGACTCTAAAGTGTAAAAGCGCTTTGAGTGTCCAGAAAACTGCTATATAAATGTAAGCAATTATTATTATTATTATTATTGAGGTGACCACTGTGGCACCCCCTATTCAATTTTTTTTATCTATTTAATTAATTAATTGTTTCACTTTTATACAAAGCTGTTTTTACTTCTGTAGCACAAGTAGAATTATGTTTTAAATGTGCTATACAAAGATAAATAATAATATTGTTATTAATAATAATAAAATCAAATTATAATTAAAATATTACAATTCTGAGGGGAAAAAAAGTCAGAATACACGAGAAATTACATCAAAAACCTCCACAAAATTTTGATTAATTTCAATAATAATTAAGACTTTTTTGGTCAGAATCAGAATTAAGCAAGGTAATATAGAAAATCAACATGTCGACTCAGTAAAAAAACAACAAGTAATCAGAACAGAAGAAATGTAAAATAAGATTTCAAGAAAAACTCAGGGTTGCTAGGGTGTTGCTATGTGACTACTAAATATGTACACATTGCTTTAAGGTTTCTAGACTGTTCAGGGTGGTTACTAGGGTGTTGCTATGTGGTTGAAATTTTTTTTCCAAATTTTCTAAAGTTTGCCATATTGCTTTGAGGTTGCTAGTATGTCCAGGTGGTTACTAGGGTGTTGCTATGTGGTTGCTACATATGTACACATTGCTTTGAGGTTCCTAACATGTTCAGGGTGGTTGCTAGGGTGTTGCTATATGGTTAGTAAAATTGTACACATTCCTCCTTTAAGGTTGCTAGAATATCCAGGATGGTTGCTAGGGTGTTGCTATATGGTTGATAAAGTTTGCCACTGCTTTGAGGTTGCTAGAATGCTCAGGGTGGTTGCTAGGGTGTTGTTATATGGTTGCTAA